TCTTCACGGATGGCCCTAATTTGCTTGTCTTTATCTTCCTCCATTTCTTTACGGATAGCCATGATCTGTTTGGTTTTATCTTCCTCTAATTCTTTACGTATTTTATTTGTCTCCTCTATTATCCTCTTCATCAATATAGATGTAAGGTCCTCTTCTTGATTTTCTATTATGCTGCATTGTTCAGGGCTGTTCGCCCCTGGATGGCTGGGTTCTGGAGATGCCATATTGCTCTGTCTTTTGTTGGTTGAGCCTTTACGCTGACCTCTACCCATTGGGCTGATTTAGGTTTTGGCTGTTAGTTTCTGTGCTTCCTGGAGTCCTGAGGTAGGGAGTATCCCCTTGGCCGGAAGATGATTTTTCCTGAAGGAGTCCTTCTCTGATTTTTGGTTATGGTCACTGTATGGCCAGTGTTTCTCCGGAGATGCCACTGCTCACCTCAGGTTTATAGCCCTGAGTAGTAGCTGTGGTCTATGTTAGGCAGGGGGGGATCTCCTCTTACCCATAAAATTTCTCAAGACAGCTGCCCCACTGCTGGGTTTCTTGTTATAAATTTAGTGTGCTGCTGCTCACTAAATTTCCATATACAGTCCTCTTGAAGAAACTGCTGATTCCCTAGCTATGGGGTTTTCTCCCAACAGGGAAACTCAGTCTGTTATCCTGGGGCGCACAGTTCTGTCTGAGAAAGTGGGAGGTGCACTCAGCAAGTCTCTGGGCCAAAGGCTGATTGCTCTGCTCTGGACCTGGAGAATGTGCACCTAGGTTGATTTGGCACCTGGGGGCACTGTTCTGGTCTGGAGGCTGGGTGCCTCACTCTGGACCAGAAGCTGTGTGTCTCTGTCTGGGATGGCGGCTACAGGCACTGCTCTGGTCCAGACGCTGTGGGTGCAGCCCCCCTGAAGGATCAGGGATTCCTACAGTTTTGGCAGTCCAGCCAGGGACAACTGGCCGATCCCTGGCACAGTATCTGAGGGCTGCTGTAATGGCTCTTAGGCTCCTGCAGGTTCGAGGATGCAGCTGTGTGTCCCAGTGCCCCAGGGGAACGCAACAATGGCGGCAGAGCACAGCGCTTCTGCCTGCACTAGAGTCTGCGTGAGTCCAGGAAGTGTTTTGGTGCTGGGTGTCCTAAGCGTTAGAGCTGCTGACCCCCTCCGCTGGGGGTTTCCTCCTGCCAGAGACACGCAGTCTGGTGCCCTGTTGCCCTGGTGCCCACAGTTCTATCTGAGGCGGCGAATCACGCGCGCAGGCAGGGCTCTGTGCAGGCAGGCGCCTTTGTCCCTCCCGGCTCTGGGTCCGGGCTGGCTCCTGGGGCACCCGCGGAACCCGAGTCTTTTCCAGGGGATGTCTGGGTAACCTGGGGTCGGTCCCAATTGTTTCCTGCTCCGTGGGGTTATCTCTCGACTGGGAGATCCAGTCTATGGTGTTGTGGGCCCACAGTTCAGTCTGGGACCGTGACCAGATCGCGCTGGCGGGTAGCTCTGAGCTGGCGACCAAGCGCCTGGCGGAATGGGGATCTCTTCCGCGGTTTTGCCGGGTGAGTTAAAGCTGATCGAATCCCCCACCGTGGGGTATCCTCTCACCTGAGAAACACAACCACTTGTGTTTTATGGCCGCGAGTTCTGATTGCTGGTCACTGTGCCAATCCTGCTGTGCTGCTCCTCAGAATGAGAGTCCTCCCGGCGCTGCCATCTTGCCCCGCCGTCACTTGAGTTTTTTATCTTAGTGACAATACAAGCTGGAGAGGATGTGGAGAAAGGGAAACCCTCCTCCATTGCTGGTGGGAATGTAAACTTGTACAAGCACTTTGGAAATCAATCTGGCGCTTTCTCAGACAATTAGGAATAGATCCAGCTATAGCACTCCTAGGCATATATCCAAAATATGCTCAAGTGTACAAGGACATTTGCTCAACCATGTTTGAAGCAGCTTTAGTCATAATAGCCAGAATCTGGAAACTACCCAGATGACCCTCAACTGAGAAATGGATACAGAAATTGTGGTACATTTACACAATTGAATACAACTCAGCAATTAAAAACAAGGAAATCATGAATTTGCAGGCAAATGGTGGGAACTAGAGAAGATCATCCTAAGTGAGGTATCCCAAAAACAGAAAGACACACATGGTATATACTCACTTACAAGTGGATATTAGACAAATATAGGATAAACACACTAAAATCTGTATACCTAAAGAAGCTAAGCAAGAAGGAGGACCCTGGGTAAGACACTCAATCCTCACTCAGAAAGGCAAACAGGTTGGACATCAGAAGAGAGAAATGGCAGGGAACAGGACAGGAGCCCTACCACAGGGGGCTTCTGAAAGACTCTACCCTGCAGGGTATCAAAGCAGAGGCTGAGACTCATAGCCAAACTTTGGGCAGAGTGCAGGGAATCTTGTGAAAAAAGGGAGAGATGAAGGACCTGGAGGGGACAGGAGCTCCACAAGGAGAGCTACAAAACCAAAGGATCTGAGCACAAGGGTCTTTTCTTAGGCTGATACTCCAACCAAGGACCATGCATGGAGATAACCTAGAACACCTGCTCAGATGTGGCCTATGGCAGCTCAGTCTCCAAGTGGGTTCCCTGGTGACGGCAGCAAGGGCTGTCTCTGACTATGAACTCAGTGGCTGGCTCTTTGGTCACCTCCCCCTGAGAGGGGAGCAGCCTTGCCAGGCCATGGAGGACAATGCAGCCAGTCCTGTTGAGACCTGAAAGGCTAGAGTCGGAGGGAAGGGGAGGAGGACATCCCGTATCAGTAAACTTGGGGAGGGGTTTGTGAAGAGATAAGGGAAGGAGGGTGGTGGGACTGGGAGAGGATGAGGGAGGGGGCTACAAAGTGAATAAACTGTAATTAATAAAAAAATTAATTTAAAAAACTCTTATGCTATATGCTTTTTACATTAAAAAAGAAAAAGAAAAAAATCTGACTAAGTGTGCTGGTGAGATTTTATGTCTTCTTTGCCTCACTGTGTTCCCCTGGCTGGTCTGGAATTTGCTCTGTAGAACAGGCTGTCCTCAAGCTCATAGATCCACCTGCCACCGCTTCAAGAGCTGGGATTAAAGGCGTGGGCCACCACACCAATAGAATGTTGCTAATCAGCGCAGACGCAATTCTTAGAAAAGCTTGCTGGTTCTGGCTTCACTATTCGAGAAAACAGTAAACAAGGTAAAGATGACAGGCCACATTTCAAAAACAAAGGGAACCAGGCAGGAGAAATTCAACTGACAGCACGGAGGTCAGCAGGCAAAGTGTTATATCTCACTAGAAAGCAGATGCCTCAGGACCAGGATTAGGAGGCTTCAAAACTATTCATAAGCAAGTATTTTTCTCAGACATTTTCTCAACAGACTTTTTTTGAGCCCTAGCCCGTGACCTAGGCTATGTCCCTTAGGATATCAAACAGTGGCCTGATTTCACTGGATAGTCCCAGACCTAAAAGCTAACCTCTACTCGCCTGCTAAAGGATAGCTTAAACTATTCTTATTAGTTACAGAGGCAGGCAAGCGTTATGTCTTTCACGGTTCCTGAAAGGGCAGGGAACGTGTGTGAGAGGGAAACCCATATGGACTGCACTGTCAGGGCTTATTTTTAGGCATCAAGCACAGTATTGGTCTTGTTCCTATTCTGCAGGTTCTTAAATGCTACAGAAAAAAAAATGACTGGTCCTATCAAACTATAGCTGTCTGTGGTCTGTCAGCACACAGTCTTAGCTCCAAGGCCCTCAGCAATCCCATCCATCCCTTCTCTTTTGCAAGCTGGGAACTCAGCTGCAGTCTTGACTCCTTCAGGTGAAATCTTTTAAAGGACTAGAATTTCAGCCCTTTAATACATTAAAATTTAAAAAAAAGAGAGAGAGAGAGAAAGAGAGAGAGAAAGAAAAAAAAAGACAAGGTCTCACTGTGTGGCTCTGCTGATTCTGGAACTCTGTGGACCAGGCTGGCCTTGAACTCACAAAAAGATCTGCCTTCCTCTATCTCCTAGTGCTGGGATTAAAAGTGTGAGCCACCACTCCCGGTTCTGAACGTAAATGTCTTTATTTCGAAATTAATTTTGTTCATATCATTTAAGTTTTTCAATAGGCCTTTACCAAGGAAGGTTCTGCAAAATAATCTTTACAAATATCTTAGACATTCTGAAAAGTGATTTTTACTTGTCACTGAAAACAGACTTGAATGAATGTACTCTTGCCCTTCCGGGAGGTGGGGAGGGTCCATCCTCGGCAGGGCCAGTTAAGGAGCTGTAAGGTAGCCTGGCCCACCTCTTGGCAGTGCAGACGTCTTGGGTCTGTGCACAGACAGGCTTCCTAGAAGGTTGAGGTACGGGAAACTGAGTTATCAGCTTCCTGGAGGGGAGCACACACCTTCCACCTGCCCTCTGAACAGGTTCCAGTGTCATCTTTTCTCCTGGGTGCAGAATCTAGATGATTTGTCTGCCTGTTTCATGTGACATGAAGGCAATAGGGTGACAGTTTGAGGGGAGGAGAGACGACGGGACAGTGCAGAAGGGTAAATATGGAAGAAAAATACAATGATGTGCATATACGAACATGTCAAAATGCAATGCATTATTTTGTGTACTAACCAAAAAAAAAAATGTTAACTTTAAAAATAGAAAACAGCTATGTCTGCAATACAAAGAACTCCTGAGCCTGCTGGTGTAGGGGAAAAAGACTGTTTCCAAGTGGAGGCTGGACGCTGACCTCATACATCTTTAGCCTTCTACCAAATGCAGATGAAGCGTCTCTTCCTGTTATTAAAGGTGTTGGTGTGACTTTACTAGCCAACAGGTGTGCAGAATAACTTCTTAAAGGGGATGGACACAGGAAGAGGGTAGGAGGCCTGAAGCCGCTGGCCCGGAAGAGGTGTAGGAGCAGCAGAGTGAGGTAAGAACCATTAGGGAGTCCTCTGCTGCACTTATTTATGGAGACCATTGCCCACAGTGGACTCATGCCTGTCACTCCCAGCTACAGTGCTGTGGAGCTGCTACAGTAAAAACGTACCCGAATCAGGGAGCTCCTGTCTTCATGAACCAGCTCCAAAGATGCAGTGTGTTCAAAGTTCAATTTTACGTAGCAACTTTCCACAAAATGTTGGCTGTGATTGCTAGGTTCACCTAGCAATGGTTGCCAGCTGTCAATCAAAGTTGGCTAGCTCTTCAGTGGCATCCAAGTGCTAAGAAGCTTTCTTTCAGAACACCCCATCTAAGATGAGAAAGAAAAAAAAGAGATGGAAGAAATTTTCTGGAAAACAATACAGTGTTATGGTTTAAATCCAAAAAATCTCCCACAGGCTCATTCATAGTATGGATACTATTTGGGGGACCTTTGGGAGGTAGGGTATAGCTGGAGGAAGTTGATCCCAGAGGAGAGGGTCCCAGGATGCCTATTATCCCTAGCCACTTTCGGTGAACAGTCTCTGCCGCACATTTCCACTTCTGTGAGCTGAGATGTTCAAGTTTACCTTGCCTGCAGTGAAGGACTAAAACCCTCTGCAACCACGAACAAAAGAAATCCTCCAGGGCTGGAGAGATAAAAGGCTTAGAGGTTAAGAGCAGTTGCTGCTCCTTCAGAGATCCAAGTTCAGTTGCCAATACCCACGTCAGACCAGTCAGATAACTCTAGCTCCAGGGGACCTGACACCTATTCTGACCTCCACTGGCTCACACACACACACACACACATTCACACACAGACACACATAAAGAAAGCATTAGGTAGGCAGGTGGGTAGATTGATGATAGACAGACAGACAGACAGACAGACAGATAGATGATAGATAGAGCAATCCCTTGGGTTGTTTCTGCCAGATACTCACAGTGAGGCAAAATAAACAACACAAAGGGGGCAATCCCTCCAGGGTTCACAGATGTGTGCTAGTATGAATGGTTATAGAACTCAGCGTGTGTGTATATTCATGCAATATTTTTAGTAAGAGAGAGATGGATTTAATCCTTCTCAAAAGCAGAAAGTAAACGGGCAAGTGAATAAGTGATCACGTGTCCTTCTGGCCGCTGTGCGCATTGTTCTTTCTCCCTGGAATGCACATCCTTTCCTTCACATCTCTCACATCTACTTCCTTCCCTCACCTCTCAGGTCACTGACACCAAAGACAGGCTTGAGTCCCCTGCCTGGGACAAATCCTTCCCAAGAGCATGTACCTGGTGAACTTTGTGTCTCTGTTTTGCAACATTTATCATTGTGGTGATAATTATATAAATAATCGTATTTACATATAATATAAATAATGTGTAAATTAAAACTATGTGAAAAATTATTTACTCATTGGAATAAATAGAAGAAGACACTGAGGAAACAACTTATGGAGGCCTGAGGTGCCTAGAGATGTTTCTCACAGTTTCTGTTTAAATGCACTGTTCATAAAAAGCTCAATAGTAGGAGAAACGTTCAGGTGGAGATATGACATGTGCCTTCTTCTGTTTGAAGAAATGTCGTGTTGAACCAGTGACCACATTCTTTGTAGCTTTAGAGAGCAGGGCAAAAAGGGGGGGGGGTCCAGAAAACAGATTTCACTGCAGTGTGAAGGAGTGAACTGTGTACCAGCGAGACCTGTTGAAGAAGAAGTGTCCTGGTCAGAGGGGAGCAAAGAAAGGCTGGAGAACACTGGGTATAGAGGAAATTCAGTTCCAGCCAGGGCACTTTTGACTACCTACTGTGCTTTTCTACATCTGGGAGAGGTGCTTGCAAGCAAACCGGAATTGGTTTGAACTGACCTCAGGCAAAGAGCGCTGCAGCAAATGTCAGATCTCACGATGCCCAGCTAGCTCTGGGCTGTTTAAAGGCTCTATCTGCGACCGTGGGTGGCCATGCTCTGCCTGTTCACCAGGCCTCCAAAGCCAGCATTCCAACAGTGATCAGAGCTGTGCAGCTGCCACCGTGACTAAGCAGGGGACACGCAAGTAGATGATGGGAGTCTCGGACTTGTCCTCCCACCCCCAAGCATGCTCTCACCCAACCCTGCCTCAGTCCACATACACGTAAACATAGTTCTACTCCCAAAGTCACCACTGTGTGCTGCACTCCTTTCTTGGATGCTTAAGGCCTCTCCTTGCGCTGAGCATAATGTTATGACTGTGTTCTCTCTCCTCATGGAAAATGCAGCTTGGAAAGGCATCTGAGAAAAAGGACTAAATAATCATCTTAATAAGTGGTTTCTGTCTTAAATTTACTTAACAGTTATATGGAAGCCGGGCACTAGCCCTGTTTGGAAATTGAGACCTACTGACACTCGTTTTTTGTGCAGCAAGATATTCTGACTCCCCGGGTACCAGCTTGAAAATTTTGAAATATAGCCCATTTACAAACAATCTAACGCAGCAAAACTATCACGACATTCAAACTGTAGAGACTTAGTCACTTACCTTTGAGAACCACAGTGCCCTCCCTATGCATGGTAAGCTATTTGGCAAGCCAATCATCAAACCTGTATTGAGCACCTGTTCTGTGTCAGGCGCATTGACAAGCGATAGGTACACGGAGTGAACAAAATGGATGGGATCTCTGGCATTTTAGGACTTCCGGTGTAGGCCGAAACACCAAGTACCCAAGTAATACAACTTGTGACGGGCGACATGAAGGAAAGGGTCAGATATGGAATTCTGAAGTTACGGTAGGCTCTCCATGGGAAGAGCCGTCTAGGTAAGAAATAAGAAATAAAGACTAAGCAACCATCAACCTCATGAAGGCCTGGGAAAAGAAGATGGCTGACTGAAGAATGCTAAAGTGTGAAGGATCTGGTGGCAGGAACTACCGAGCCGTGAGCCTTGGCGTGGCCACAGTGGTCCACGGGTGTAGTGCTTTTTCTCAACCTTCTAAGCCCCATAATAAGGCCAAGAAGCTGCTGCAAAGTTCCAAGCAAAAAGATTCCAAGAAGATGTTCAAGGGGCTCTGACTCCAGCAGAAGAAAGTTTGATCATGGAAATGTGAGCAGCGACTCTTGTGTTGTAAAGGCCGCTAAGATAAAACAGTAGTTCTCAGCCTCCCTAACGCTGCGACCCTTTAACGCAGTTCCGTCCCCAAACCATACATTTTTTTCATCGCTACGTCAGAACTGTGATTTCGCTACTGTTGGTCCAAATCTGTTAACTGTCACATGCGGGATGCGATCTTTGCCAGCTGATAATGACCTTCCGCGTGCCTCACGGAGAGGGGCGTGGTCTAGGACCCTGATAGTATAAATATGAGAGCCGAGAAAGAGACGTGAGGCTTTCTGTGTGGTGTTCAGTATTGGCGTGTGGCATGTAGCAGTTTGGAGAGACCAGAGACCAGAGACGGTGTGGCTATTTAGAGCAGACAGATGGAGAGAGACGCTTCGGGGCACAGGGGCGTGGAGGAGACCGCTAGCTGCACCTGTGGTTGACAGAAATTGGGGTGGAGCCCTAAAAGAACCCCTTGACCCTAACTAGCTGGGAGAAGTAAAGGGGTCTGGGCCCCCTCTACCCACTAACTCTTTCTTACTTAAGGTTGCGGGGGGGGGGGGTTGTGAAAGGGAGGGAGAGGCCTAAACACCCCAAATAAAGTAGAGTTTAAAAAAAAGAAAACACGGTTGCAGGTGGCTTTCCAGTATGTTCCCTACTCTTATATAGTAGAGAATAGTGCTGCCAACAGTAGGCAAGGCCTTCCCGCATCAGTCAGCCAGCTGATTCTAGACCGTTGTCAATTAAAACTATCACATGTACCAAACATTTGTAGACTTCTCTTGTCACCGTTTCCTAAACAATATAGTGAAATAGCGAAACAACAATTAACAATTGCACGGCATTCGGTTGTATTAGGCCGTAGAAGTAATCCAGAGAGGATTTAAAGGATGCGAAGTCATTGTGTTACAATTTTGTTCTTATGCTGTTTACAGTTTTATTTTTAAAACTTGAACATTGCGGATTTAGGTAGCCTGTGCTCCTGGAGCCACTTTCCTACAAATACCAAGGGATAATTATTTGTGTCGATGGGCAATGCAAGACTCTGAAAACAATGTGTTCTTCTCTTATTTCCCTGAAAAAGGGACCCGTGGCACAGTCACTTCACGGTATTCATTTCAGTGAAGGAGGCTGTAAATTAGCATATTCTAAGGAGGATACAAAGATGAAAGTAATACTTAACCTCTGGCATTCAAAATAGGATGGTGCAGGAATTGAGGTTATTTTTCAAATGCTTTATTTTTTCCCTTCAGCAACTGAATCCATGGGGCTCGATGGCATCTGCTTGCATAGTTCATGTAGTGTTGATATAAGCGTTTGTGGTTTATGGAAGTAGGGTGTTACCCGAGGACAAGTAAGGAATGCTGGACCCACTCTGCTGCCAGGGAAGAAAGGAAGTGTGAAGAAGAGAGGGGAGGCAGGAGAGAGGACAAGGATAGGAGAGGCAAAGGATATTCCAGCTTGCTGTCAGTAAGCAGTACTGCATCCACATCGTCAGGATTTCACTTGTCCTCATATCACAAAAAGAACTTGTGAAAACAGTTGCTGATTTCCACCCCCGGAAACCCCATTTCTCCAAAGCTCACAGTTGATGAATATTGCCTACGCTTTAGCCAGGCATGGTGGCACAGGCCTGTAATCCCAGCACTCAGGGAGGCAGAGGCAGGCAGATCTCTGCGAGTTCAAGGCCTGTTCTACAAAGCAAGTTCAGGACAGCCAAGGTTACACAGAGAAACCCTGTCCTGAAAAACCAAATACACACGCGCACACACACACACACACACATTGCCTACAATTTGATGGCCACTGTGCTAACCAAAGTAACACAAAGGGCAAAAGAACTCCTTGCCCTTGATTTTTCTGCACTGACCTTAAGAATTATCTACATCTGAGAGGCTGGTGATGGCACTCACCTTTAATTCCAGTTCTCAGGAGGGAGAGGCAGGCAAATCTCTGAGCTCAAGGCCTGGTCTACAGAGCAAGTTCCAGGACAGCCAGGACTACACAGAGAAACCCTGTCTTGAAAAACAAACAAACAAACAAACAAACAAACAAACCAAAAAACCAAAAAGAAAATAATAACTAAGAATTTACTACATCTGACCTGGTGAGCAGCCAAATTTCTCCAGCTCACACCACATCAGTGGGGACGAGACCACATCTTCCTCCCAGTCCTTAAAGAAAGAAGTAGGTGTGTGGGGATGTCTCAGACACTGATCATGTTTTTTTTTTTTTTTTCCTAGAACGATCTCCCATTGCCCATAGATTGCTGAAATCTAATGATTCTCAACCAGATTGGACACCATACCTGGTTAGGCTTCTTACTCCTCTTTTAAATAACCACGCTGGCCTTCCCACATCCTCTGCTCCCCGACCCTGTCCTCCCAGACTGGTATGTGATGTGGTGGAGATTTATCTTTAGGTTGTGATGAAGCCAACACTTTGAGAATGGTAGAAATCACTAGCTAGTGAGTACCTTCGTTACAGACTTCGTCAGTCTACAGAGCTGGAGCTTTTGCTTGTTGAGTCATTGAGTGTTGGCCCAGAAGGTCTTGCCTGTATCCAACCAGTATAAATGGAATGAGGCAGAAGTACTGGCTCACAGTAGTAACCTACTTTCCCTGTATATATTTTTTCTGACATTTATTGTCAGCAACCCACAAAGGGCTTTGGCTAGATGGCAGCTTCCCCATTAAGAGTCATTAGATTTAAGGGTGGTGGTGGCACGTTCCTTTAATCCCAGCACTCAGGAGGCAGAGGCAGGCAGATATCTGTGAGTTCAATGCCAGCCTGGGCTATAGAGTGAGTTCCAGGACAGCTAGGGCTACACAGAGAAACCCTGTCTCAGAAAAACTGAAAAAAAAAAAAATTAGAAAGCCTTGAAGTAGTCTCAACTTTATCTTATATATGATAAAGAAAACAATTTACAAAAGGACTGAACAAATGGCCAACACATGTGCATGTGTCCATGACAGAAAATGCACTTGTATGTTCAAGTGCACATGCTTACATATGTTACAGATGTGCCTATCTGTGGAAGCCAGGAGTCAGCTCAGGCGTCATTCTTCAGAAGTCACTCATTCGGTGTTTTGGAGCAAAGTCTGTCAGTGAGTCCTGGGACTTGCCACCTAGGCTGAACAGGCAGGCCAGCAAGCTCCAGGGGCCTCTCCCCATCTCCTCAGTGTCTGGACGATAAACACAAGCCAACAAAACCAGCTTTTACATTGGTTCTAGGGAGCAGACTCCTGTCTCCATCCCTTCACCAAGGAAGCTATCTCCCAGCCCCTAAAATTGTATTTTTAAATGGGCTAAAGAATTTCAAATTTAAGAGAAAAAGATCTATCGTTTTTTCGTCACATGCACACACACACATACACACACACCACTTGAATGTTCAATGCTAATAACTCAGGGAAACAGGATGCTCGTACATAGTGCTGTGTATAAAAATAAATCAGAATTATCTTTCTAGAGGGTAATTAAATTTCCTTTTGACCAAACATTCCACCTCTGGGCCTTTATTTGCAAGGAAGTAAATCATGGGTGTTAAGACATAGTATAAAAGAGAACAAATGAGGACAAAGCATAAGGACATACATGTGAAAATGACATGATGAAACTCTTCATGACTTTGTATGCTAACCTAAAAATTAAAATTGAAAGTATATCCGCTGGGTTATCCTTAATGTTTAACAATAGGGAGTTGGTTAAATAAATCATGAATCATCCTTTGAACACGTAACTGAATATTTAACAACACAGAAATGCTCATTAAATTTTGTTACATGAAAAAAAAGTTATAAAACAGTGTGTGAAACAATCAAGGCTCCTAAGAACTAGGCCAGAGTGATGGCGCTTGGGCTTTAGGGCCACCACTCACGACTGTGTAGCATTCATTGAGTAACCTAATCTTCCCGTAGATCAGTTTCATCATCCATAAAATGGGGCTAATTCGAGTCTCTCTTTCATAGGGTTGTTGTAAAAACGACAAGTTAATATCCACAAAGCATTCAGACAAGCGTGCGCCGCAAAGAAAGCACTGTTCTAAGAGCTAGCTACTGTTGACAGCGTAGGTTTTGTTGCCAATAAATTAACTTGACTTTTAAGCTAATTCAAGAAGCAAAGGTGGGAAGGAGAATCATCCAGGCAAGAGCCACACCCAAGCATTCCACAGGGCTGCTCCCATGAAGTCACCACCCCAGCTGCCAAGGACTGACCCCAAGGCTCACGCTGCCAAGTCCTCAGATGTGGGACATTGCATACTGCCTCAGAACAGCTGTCTCTCGCTCAACTGGAAACCGGATGCAGCTGCTATGGCTGCTGCTCTGGCCACAGTGCACTGCGTCATCCCTGCCGCTCTGAGTCAACATCTCCGGAAGCAAAGTCCAGAGAGGACGCATCCGCTCTGCTGCGCCAAGTCCTCGCTCCCCCTCGTAAGAGCAGCCATTTAAAAACACCATCACACAGTGAACAAGATATGGAAGTCCAGCAAACTCAGACAGCAAATTTACATACACTGTGGGCAACAACAACAACAAAAGACAGAAACAGGGAGCTGAGACCAGGCTTAGATGAGTGAGCACTGTTCATCCAGAGCAGGCGCAGTGGGCCAGTGCCACCAGCTGACTCACGGTGTGCCGAAACACAGGGTCTAGGAAAAAGAAAGGGAAGGAGGGCTTCAGTAGAAGGATAAGCAACAGACAGTGGGAAGACACATTATGTAAGCGTTGAAGCCTTGAAATGTTTCCAGATTTAGAAGAGGGCAAGATCATTAGCAGAAATAGATTGCTGGAACGGGACCCAGCTTTGAGGGAGGGGGAGAGAAATCTGTTTTTAAACAGTGAGGTTTAAGAACTCGAAAGGTGGCCTCAGTTCAGGAAACAGAGCTTAGACCAACAATAAATGTCAATGCTGGACTTAAAAGTCGGAGAGAAATCCAAGGCCAAGAGATAATGGGAGGCATAAAAAATAGACGGGATCATTTGCAGAGAACATATGAACCAACACAAGAAACCGAAGCAGGATGTCTGGTGATGCCTGTGTGGAGGTAGTGGAGAAAGAGGAGCCAGCAGCAGAGCAAACACTTGAGGAAGGAGAGCTGAAAAGGAGGACATCCATTTTATGTTAAAATAACAGTCCTCGTCATCAGACAATTCAGAAGCTTCTGACCTTTTTCAGTAAAGTTTTGATGAAAACTTTGCTGTTTGGGCACTGTTGCAAATCAAACAGGGCACAGCTTATCTTTGCTTTAGTCATTCACTCAATAAACATTTAATTAGTACTTCCTATGAGACAAGCACTTTCTTGGGTATTGAGGATGGAAAAGTCAAAAGCTCTTGCCCTCGTGGGAATTACATGTTGCATTCTTGGGGCGGGGCGGGGCGGGGGGGGGGAGGCAGATGATAAGTAAGTTCGCTGTATGTTAGATGGTGTCGAGGAACATTAAAGAAGACGAAAGGATGGGTAAGTTTTGAAAGTCGAAGCAGGAAGACTTCACTGACATGATCAGATCCAAAGAGAGGAAGCCGCTCTTGCAGACAGAAGAGGAGAGAACACCCCATGAGTCGCGACTTGGGGGCCTGCTGTGCTCAAGGAGGCCAATGTGGCTGCTAATGGCGTGGGGTCGAAAGGAAGAGAGCTGAGACAGAAAGGCCGCTTGATAAGTGGCATTTTCTAACTTGGATTTTAATATTGTGAGTGCTGTTGTTAAGAGCATTCCAAGATTCGGTGTGGCGCCGTGTAAGCCTTTAATCCAAACACTCAGGTGGCAGAGGTGGGCAGATTTCTGAGTTTGAGGCCAGCCTGGCATACACAGCCAGGACTACACTGTGAGACCCAGCTTCAAAGAAAAAAAAGAGGGGCCTTGGGGGTGAAGAATACGCTATAACCTGGCAGGAGGCTATTGCAGCTGTCTGGTAAAGGGTAAAGACGATTCTTGTTTGTCTTTTAGTATATCCCACTACAGTGGAGCGGAGGGAGGAATGAAAGATTGTCTGTGTAGGAGAAAAACAAGTACAAAACTTGTACCTCTGGTTATATAGTCCTATGTATTTTTACAGGTCTTTAGACACACAGAATTAAAGGAATAAGCAACTTGAACCTTTAATACATTTGCATACTTAAACCTTCTAAATTATTACAGCTTCGTGAAAATGTTTAAAAATAAAACTCCAAAAGCCAGTTATCACCACTTTGTCAATAAGTTTATATTTATTATATTTATAAATATAAATATATTTATAATATATTTCTATTATTATAGTAATAATAGAACATGGTAATTTAAAGACATGAGCAATATTTTTGAAATGCAGAGACACTAAATAATGACTGGTCCTGAAAGGTATAATTTTAAACCTTCCCTCTGTCTGTGCCATGGTTAAAACAAAAATAAAAGTGATCTAGAGAGTCAAATCAGGACGTACAATTTGCTTTTCTTGCGGATCTGAGACCAAAGGCTCCCATTATTTGCTAAAGATTAAAAGGATAAGCTGATAGTTTTTCATCTTAAAACTCGCAGACAACTAAGTAGAGTAAAATGTTGATTCAGAACAGAGCTGTCAGCAACTGGGTGCTTCACGGTTTACAAAGCGCTTTCTCTAACTGTCTCACTGATCTGCCTCACTCCAGGTCCTTTCAGTCCTGACTCTCCACACACAGATGAGCAAGCCTACAGAGGGGCCCTCACTCTCGCTGGAGCTGCAAGCAGAGCCTGCCCTTCCAAGTCGGCTGCTTTTCATACCATTCCAGCTGGAATTCGGAGGAAACCGGGAATTCCCCGGGTCAGCAAGACCACCAATAGAAAAAACACCCGTGGAAAACTACCAGCCTGGGGAGAGTCTTAGGAGAAATACTGCTGCTCCCTCTTAATTCTGGAAAAACCAAGAAACAAGTCTGTTCTGAGTCAGCCAGTGGCTGGCTTTATTTATTCAGGGGTGTTGCCATCCCTGCTAACTTCGGTCTCCTCTGTTCCCCTTCAGAGCTTGTTGGATCTGCCGGCCTGCAGATCCACCAGAGGGCAGGCAGGGCAGGAAGAAAAGGGCTTCAGATGCTTAGCTAAAAGTTGAAAGAGGCTAGAGTGGGTTCAGGGGCTTAAGGAGCTCTCTGCTATCGCAGAGGGCCCGAGCTCCGTTCCCAGCACCCATATGGCAGCTCACAACCGCCTGTAACTCCAGTTCCAGGGAACAGACACCTCTGACCTCCTCAGGCTCCTGTACGTACATGATACATGTAGTCAGGCACAAACACATACACACAAAATAAAATAAATGCACATTAAAAAAATTTTTTTAAAAGTTGGAAGAAAACTTGGGTCCTTATCTTAATTTAGGCTTCGGTGTCTTTCTACATTTTAGTTATTAATGTGACTTCTATCAAAACTCCCATAGGTAAACCTAGAATAATGAATACAATGATATCATGTCAGAACTGGAAAATAGAGTTTTATTATACCTCCATTAATTTCCATGGCTGATTTTCCTAATTGACATGAAATGTTAAATGTTTTAAGAGGAACACGTACAGACACAAAGGAAAATAGATGGGCAATGAATAAGAGTACACTATCCACAGAAATATAACTGCCAGGGACCGAGGAAAATATTCCACTTTATTAGCAATTAAAGAAATGCATGGTTTTTGTTTCTTGTTGTTTTTTTTTTAATTTTAAAGTTTTAAGTTTTATTTTCCTTTTTTTTTTTTTTAACATTCCCATTGTTGTTTTCCCTCCCCTCTCTCCTTCAAGTTTCTCCCTTCTACCTCTCCCTTTTTTTCCCAACCCCCTTCATCCACTCCTCCTCCATTTCTCTCAAGAAAAGGGCCAGGCTCAATGGATATCAACCAGCCATGGCATATAAGGTTACAGTAAGACTAGGCACCTCCTCTCATATCAGTGCTAGACTAGGAAATCCACTAGGAAGAAAGAGTCCCAAAAGCAGACAACAGAGGCAAAAACAGTCCCACTGTTAAGAGTCCCACAAGGAGACCAAGCTACACAATTGTATCATATGCTCAGAGGGCCTACGCCAGCCCCGTGCAGGCTGCCTGGCTGGTGTTTCAGTCTCTATGAGCCCAGGTTAGTTGACTCCATGGGTGTCCTTGTGGTGTCCTTGACCCCTCTGGCTCCTACAATCCTTCCTCCCCCTCTTCGGAGCTATACCTATTGTTTGGCTGTGGGTCTCTGCATCTGTTTCCATCAGTTGCTGGGTGAAAAGTCTCTGATGGTGATTGTGCCAGGTACTAATCTACAAATATAGCAGCATATCATTAGAAATCATTTCATTGACTTTTTTTTTTTTTTTGACCATTCATGTTTGGTTCTATGCTAGGTTTCTGAGCCATCCAGCCTCGGGTCTCTGGCCATCTAGGCAGTGTCAGTTGTGGGCTTTCTTTCCTGGCATGGGTCTCAAGCTAACCAGTCAGTGGTTAGCCAATTCCACAATTTCTGCATCACCTTTACCCCAGCACACCTTATAGAAAGGACAAGTTTTAGGTCAATGGTTTTGTGTCTGGATTGGTGTTCTAATTCCTCCACTGAAAGTCTTGCCTGGCTACAGGAGATGGCCACTTCAGGCTCTGTATTCCCCAACGCTAGGAGTCTTAGACGGGTCACCCTCATAGATTCCTGGGAGTTTCCACTGCCCTAGATTCCTAGCTCATCCCAGAGATGCACCCCCCCCCCATTCCAGTTGTCTCTTCCGGTACACTCTCCACCTTCCCCCACCTGATCCCTCCTCTTCCCATCCCTGCCGCCCCCCATCCAGACTCCTTCTCCCTCTCCACTCTCAATGTCTGTTCTATTTCCCCTTCACAGTGAGATTCATTCATCCTCTATTGAGCCCTCCTTGATACCTTGAGCCTCTTTGGGTCTGTAGCATGATTGTCCTGTGCTTTACAGTGAGTACATACCCTGTGTGTCTTTCTGGTTCTGGGTTACCTCACTCAGGATGATATTTTCTAGTTCCATTCATTTGCCTACAAATTGCATGATGTTTTTTTTTTCCTTTCTTTTCTTTTCTTTATTTATTTTCTTAACAGCTGAGTAAATACTCCAGCTGTACCACATTTTCTTTATCCATTCTATCTAGGTTGTTTCCAGATTCTGGCTATTACAAATAAAAGCTACTATGAACATAGTTGAGCAAATGTCCTTACTGTATGGTAGAGCATCTTTTGGGTATATGCCCAGGAGTGGTATAGCTGGGTCTTGAGGTAGAGCTATTTCCATTTTTTTTTTGGGAAAGTGCCAGATTTGTTTCCAAGATGGTTGTACAACTTTGCACTCCCACCAGCAATGGAGAAGGATTCCCCTTGCTCCACATCCTCACCA